TAGCGCCGAACGAGGACATTGTTCCCCGACAGGTTCTCGTCCTAATGGAGAGCCACCGGATAAAAATCCATTCATTAAAATGGCGTTTGAATGACAGATCAAGAGTTAAGAAGCACGGTAATCACGCTTCGCCGGTTATTATCATGTATCATTACGGCATTGTTCGAAGGAACGAGCACAAGGCTTCCCGCCGCGGTGTTTTGCGGTTATTCTCCCGTGCCGCGCTGCTCACGCATCGATCTATGAATCGCGGTCGCATCTGTGCAGCAGATACTGCAACCAAACATTTGAGCGTTTCCGAAAATAACTATTCCAAATTGTCACACATGTCGTTTAAAAAATTTAACGCCCACTTTAGGAACTTTCATCGGAACAAGCAGAGAGGACTTATCCCTTTGCGCTCGAAAGTTCTTCACTAGAAATAAAATAAATTAAGGAACAATGTTATTTTATTTTAATGCGTCAAAGTTTAATATTATATTTGAAACTTTATAATTTTACTATTCTTAATATATACCTTTCGAATGCAAAGGGTTAATAAACATGGGCCCATAAACGATTAGTATCAGAAATATCGGATTTTCTTACAGTTCCGTAAGAACGACATGTTGTACTACTTTTGACATTTGTACGAATGTAGGTAATAAAGAACAAATTGGGATTTCGATATAACTCCAATTCAAGGACCTCCATTTATATCAAGATTATCTTTGATTATTTTTGTTCAAATAAATGCAACGAGGTAATTCCTGGCTATCGTTGAAACTGAACATGCATAGAAAAATATACAATAGCTTAATAAATAATAAATATAGTTAAATAAAAATCACAGTATGCCATTCTCAAACATTATCAAAATGTATACAAAATCGTAAAATTCTTGATCCACAGTGACCTAAAAATTTTGTACTTTGCGAATCGCCTGAAATCTACTAACCCCTTATTGTGCGAACTCTCAAATATCGGTCTAGTGCACGCTTGCGTTCAATCTTGTTGATGACACCGAAGAAATTTTCTAATTTGGTCGGAACGGTACTACCTTATAAGTTAGATAGCAGGCACTCGATATATACATGTCTGTTAACCTTTCCTTCGCTTGACCCGGGGTTGTCGGTATTCCGGGAAAACTGAAGGGTTCGTAAAAGCTGCAGGAATTCTTTCAGCTAGGTGAAACAGAATTTTCAGTACAAAACACGATGGTATTTTTTTGTAAATTAGAAAACAAAAAATTGTCTTGTGCTTTTCTTCTGTTGAATATTGAATGGCTTGGCTTGTTCTTCATGTCTTAAAATATTAAATAAAATAGTAATATCTAAAGGTAAAATGGAAGTAGAAAACAAATTTCATTTTTAATTGTCTGAAACTAATCTTACCAGATCTACATTTATAAATATTTTAGGAGGCTTAGAGATTTTGAAAGAGGTGATAATAATTTATTACAAACATCGAAGAGAGTTTCGCAGTTATATGAAACAATATTTAATCAAATAAAAAAAATGGAAAGTTCGTTTGTACAATAATTTCTCTCTCATAATTTACTTTTATAGCGTTATATGTAGAAGTACGAGCTAGACGTTACGAGAGAGCTTAGAAACGAATGGGGCATTATAAAATAAAGATTTTTTAATTTATAGAGATCGATCATTTCGAAAGCAAAGAAATAACTAATTTATTCCTTCGGCAATTAAACATAATATGTTATGTTAACTCTCAGCGTGCTAAACTTAAAATTATTCTCGACAATTTTCCATCATTCTACGAAAGTGAGCAAAAAGAATCAAATCATTAGAATAACATGCCGGCGACAGCGACGCAGGTGTTCACCAGATGCAAATCGAGGGAACAAGGTAAAACGTTTGTCCTTCGAATGTTTTCCAAAATACTAGGCGTGCTTTACGCGTGAGCTACCAATTTCATTGTATCTACACGGAAGTGCCGCAAATAAAGCTAAAAACAAAGACGCGCGGTAGTCCACCTATCGGCTTAAGGCTATGTTCGCGCGCCAACGCATGAATTATACATGACAAGGTCGTTTATGAGTCAGCCATACTACATATTACACGTCATTTGTGCAAATAAAATAACGCGTCTCTTGTCGATCACCTAATTTTCATGGCCGACGACAGATCACAATGCCAGGAACAAAAATACCCAGGGAAACGGCTAATGTAACAGAATCAGGATAAAACATGACAAACTTATTCGTAAATTAATGAATACACGTCATAACCATTTCAATAATTCTTAGAATTACAAATCAAAAACGGTGACAAATATATACACAAGGAACATTCCTTCTTAATTGCTTTTTCCTTGAAAACAATGATTTCTTAGACATTCATTTTTAATTCGTTTAATTTCATCATTTGATTTCATTTTAATTCGTTATACCTGTTATTTCTTATTTATAATATTTGTCCTTATTCCTTCGATCAATTATGTCACAAAATAATCATTTTTTGTTTAAATATAAAATTTGAGAAAATCAAAACTTCAAATCACCACATTAATATTAATATTCTACTAATATTCGTTATTTATAAAAATATATTGTAATATTCCACATTTCATTCCCTCATTGGACGAATGTCGTAGATTTGCATCAAACGTTCCACGTATCCAAACACGTTCCTCGATACGACGACGGGGTCGTAGACTTCGTGTTTGGCGAACATGTCGCCATAGTAACTCTACTGTCCTAGAAATTCCTCTGTGAGCAGTATACACAGCGGTTCATTGATTCTTATCACTTATACCCGACCAGCTTGTACGCAGGTCGGCAAGAATCATTTCGCGCACTGTGTATAGCTACACCTGGATTCTTGCGTTTCCATGTTGAACCGCAAGTTGCTTTATTACTTTCAGTCATTCCACTTTGTTTCCGTGTATGCGGGCTCCTTTCTCGTCCCAGAAATTCCTCGCTGGGAAAACAGTGTATTATTTACATATTCTATGCTTTGCCTAGCTAATTACAACCGTTCCGTTCCTTTCGCAAATTGTTGTTTTGCATTTTAGAAAATGATCGTTGATGCAGCCCTGTACCTACTTACTTACGCCAGACTGGTGAACCGCGAATTAGTTAACGACTTACGCAAGCTTGCGACAATAGCTATCTAGTACATAGCTACTGGAAGCTCATGTTTATTAATGTAGAACAATTTCAGGTACAATCTTAAGATTGATATTTCAGATACAACGTTCTCGATTATTTTGAGCGTTGAGTCAAATAATGAAAAAGTGAAATATCATTTTATTTAATCTCAGAATTATTCATGCTGAACAATTCAAGATATAATTTTAGGATTTCAATTCAACCTACAATATCTTCAACTATTTCGAATATTGAATGGCAGAATATACATATATATATATTTCAAATTTTCCTTCTCTCTAAACCGTTTTCAAGCATAACACAGAATTCAGTGTCAAGTCAAAGAAGCTCTGAATTACTCATGAGGCAGAACTTGAACGCATTACTTATTTATGAATTTTTTATTCCGTGTCTGATATTCCGAACCTCGTAACACATTTCAATTTCGCATTGAGTACAATACATCTATACCGCCTCAAAAACGAACCGCTAATGTTCAATAGTAAAGAAACTAAAACATTTACGAAACATTCACCAGTGTTCCACATATTTCGTGAAAAGTGCACGCTCGATATTTCGCCATGAATAAGATAACATGTCTGGTTTAAATAAGATACAGTTTAATCGAATTGAGCACCATTATAGGCGATCGATTTAGAAGATGGCCATCGTTGGTAAAAGAAAGTTCGTTGGACTTTCCAAGCTGTGGCCGTCGCCAGGACTTTCTAAAATATTACCGAGGCGTTTGTTTCTTAATTGCGGCGCGAGGCGTTACGCAGCGGAATAAACTCGATTTCGCGTAATAATGCAGCAGTTTTCATTTGTCGGGGGCGGGCCGGCGGTCGTGCCACGTGCACGCCCGTAAAAACGTTCCAACCGGTGACAGGTGCGCCAGGGAACCCGTTCCTTCCTCCTTTTTTCTTTCTCTCATTGTAAGCATCCGCCATAGAATTTCGAATGAAGCGCGAGCTCGTCGTGTCGCGTCGTGTCGCTTTTATTCTGCGACGACGGACGGACGGACAGACAGACAGTTTCCGCAGATTTTCCTCTTGCATCTAGAAACGCGTGGAATTTTCGTTCGCCGAATCGAGCCTCGCGAAGCGAAACCGTCCGCTCGCTGATTAACGCCCGACTTTCGCAACAAGTATTTCATAAAGATACCGATCGAATACGTTTCGCTCGATAAATACCGTTATCCCGAAAACGCTCGATTATAGGTAGAACCGTTTATAAGCGCTTCGGTTCTTTCCAACGGGAAAAGGGAAACGCGTCGAAAGCAAAATTGTTAATTAACGATCCGTGACTATAACCAGTCAATCTTTGTACTTTCTGTGCGAGGTTTAACGAATTGGAATCATTCGAAATTCGTTGGACGTCTGTTCTTGTTAAATGCACTACATTCGCAGAATTGGATTGTCTCTGTGTTTTAATGTACACGAACTAAGCAATGTTAGTTATGAACTTCGAATAATCTGGAGATAAAAGAATTCTGAATCAATTTTTCATTGTTCTTTGGAAATCCATTAATCAACCTGTTAACCTAAATATCGCAATTCCATCTATAATCCTTCTGAAATCCAAATTTAAACCTCACTGTAATCAGAATCTCTTTTACAAGCTCCCCAACTAAGCCAATGAAAAACAATTACAGCCCCGAACACAACGAAATCCCCACGGAACAAGGTATTGTCCGTCTAGCATTCGCTGAGGAATGCGAGTCTAATTGGTCAACTTCCATCTTTCCTCATCTCGTTTTCGATATCAATTTGCTATTCATCAGTACAGTTACAAAACCAATCAAAGCTACAAACAAGACATGTCGCTAGAGACTCTTCCTAGCTAGCCAACAAGTGGTAAACGAATAATACACGTTCCTACGGCGTGATAGTTTGCAAAACAAGGTACTCACGGTCCCTCGTCATCGTGGATGTAGTTGGTATCCGTAAAAACCTGCTGTATAAACAAACTCGCGCGAGAAGAGTCACGTGCAGCGGAACTCCGTCGTACGCACTTGAGTCCTGGCGGTCCTGTTCGGAGCGCTGCGCGTCACTAGACGCCAGCGGATGATCGCAGCAACAGTTCACCTCTTCATCGATCACCAAGAAACGATCACAACGCGAACACGTCTTTCGGGTCTCCCGGTAATGAGAGACAACTGAATCGCAGCGAAGAAACGGGACGACGATTGATCCTCGGATCGAACCGAGACACGATCTCCGTCGGATCGTCGATCCACGCCGATTTGTGGACACTGACTGTCGGTCCTACTCCGTGGCACGCTATGCGCGGATCCTCCCCCCTCTTCCTTCTTTTTCGAATACTCTTTGTGGTTCGTGGGGGGATGGAAAAAGGTGTTCGCTAAGTTCGGTTAGGTCAAGTGTTTTCCCGGCGTAGTCTCGAGTAGCACTTGTTGATTCCGGACGAGCATAGTTCTGACCAGAACGCCGGGAACCACACCTTACGGGAGACTGTATAGTTGGATATACGGTTCGAGTTGAAAGGCCCTCGCCCGTGAGACCGCGCGTCAGGGCCGTAGCAAAGGAGCGCGCCCCAGCGGCAGTGGCGGCTCCATCGATCCGCGCTTCCTCCGATCCTTCCTCCTGGCGCACGCTGGGGAGCGCTGCTTCAGGAATACAGTTCGACCTCTGTGTTCATTGTTAACGTTTTGAAATCCCATGTCCAGGCAAACTCGAATTTATTTGAATGTCTAGTTATTCTAAGAATTTTTATCATAATTAGGTATTTTTATGGTATTTATGATATGAAATTTACTACAATTATAAATATTTATAATATGAAATTTACTGTAATTATAGATATTTATGAAATAAAATTGACTGTAATTATATATATTTATGACATGAAATTTACTGTCATTATAAATATTTATAGTATGATATTTATGATATTCATGTTGCAATATTTACTATAATAGGATTAAGTGACGTTCGTGGGAGCATTAGGGTAAGGAATCAGAAAGACTTAGGACTGTAAAGGGTTACTCCTTCTACTGTATTCTATTTGCAGGCGATGTTGCACAAGCAGACAATTTAATTTATCTTGGCTTCGTAGAACAATGGATAATTTAGAGACTTGCACTTTGTTAGTCAAAGAATTGATTATTAGTAAACAGCAGTATTTATTTCATAATTAACACTCTACTGCCACTATCATCACACAGCGACCACTAGCAAAGTTAGTGTCACTAATGTGCTTCACATTCTTGACGAATACAGCTTGTCACTGCTTTCTTTGACACAGAAAACCGAGCTGCGCTCGTCATTTCAGTGGAAGGAGTTAATCTGTTTCTGAAGAACGGACAAACATCAAATTTGATGAATCGAAGATTGATGCTGGACTCTTATGACAAAAGTTGTTTGTCTACAATAGGTCTAAATTTCTCTGGCTCGATCATTTGCTTCTGTTATAGAAATTTCAATATATTAAAAGTACCACAGGTTTTCAGTAAGTAAAAAGTATGAAATCGTTGCTGACAAATATTTGGCGAATGTGGAAGTGAACGAATATAGAATTATACTTCAGTTGGATAGTTTCATTCAGTGACCCATGGCTGACTACAGAACTACGGAATATCTTCTCGTGACATTTTCGGTTCGTTAGATTGAGACGAAATTTAAAGGAGGTTTTGATAGTTTTTAGAATATTAATTGGTGGATCAATGAGATGTTATTTGTAATCAATTACATATAATATTTTTTTTAATTGACATCATTGAAATTGGAATTTTCGGTTACAGAATTGAAAAGTAAAATTTGTAAACATTTCTCCTTGAAGTTGTATTACATTTCCATCAATATATTACATACATTTATTAAGAAATGATTACAATGTAACACAATGAAAAAGTGAATGCATTTCTTAACTTAAAATCTTTTATAATTTTACTTTCTACAAACATTCATCATAAGCTTTCCATTATCGCAAATCATACAGCTTTAACGTGTCACTCTAACATCGCGACAGCCAAACTGCTACCCAAACCTACCTTACGCTAACAAAGGCACCGAAGACTTTTAAAACAATATCATTAACAATCTCAAGCTAAACATATCTCCGGGTTGAATTAATCCACGTGCGGAGGAATACATTTCCCCTACGCTTACAGTTAACTATTATTCACCTTCAGAAGCATGGGGCTTTGCGCTCGCCAACCTAATAACATCGTCCAAAATATGTCCGCCCGTAAGTTAAGACAGACGACTTGGAAATGCAAATTTACCGTGGCTCCGTGGTCGCCACGAATTCTTCCCCGGTTAACATACAAATTGCCATCATTCGTTATCTTCCACGTTGGTACCGGTGCCTCCTCTGTAATCCGGTTCGAGGGTATTCTCTTTTTTCCTTTTTCCGTTGCACCGCGGGCCACGCTGACAACTACGCTCTTTAAGCGCGGAAGAATAATTATCGCGTGTCAAAACCTCGTTCTCGATGGATGCGTTCGAGGGAGTAGCGCTCCGGAACATTGCGAAGAATGTTTCGCGCGAGGCCACGCCTAGAGTTCGATCTTGCATAGCCGGTGCTGAGGCGCCTATGGGTTCACCTTTTGCTCCTCGAATTGAGGATAGCGGGCGCAACTCGTCGAAACGCTGTCCAGTTATCCGCGGCGGAACATGAAAAGACTCTATAGACTATCAGAACGAAGCGTGGATTAGCGTTGATAATGGACCACTCAGTAGCTAAATCGGTTAACTCTAAAAAACAAGAAATGGAGAAAAGTGATGCAATAGTATATACATTGATTTTAAAAGTTTGTTAAATGGAAAATTAAATAAACGTTATGCAACGTATTTTACCATATCGTTACAAAATTTTTAAAATTAATCAAGCTTCAAAGCTCTAAAAATGGAGATGACCGATTTGATCAATGAGCGGTTCAGGTATCTAGTATTCTATAGTCTTCGTTAGATATACTGCGTGATAGATTAAGTAGCGCTGTGGAACTTTCATTTTTTAACCGATTAAAGATGTATCATGAGGAAATGAAATATTATTGTAATTCTTGATTGTTAGGTTTTTATAAAATATATAGTGTAATTTATATCATTATAAAATGTACAAAAAATCAGTCTAAAATATGAAAACATCAGTTAAATGCACAGTAAATTTCAGCATACACAAATTCCCTTGGCAGCCATATTGAATGTTTGCCGCGACACGATTCTTATCAGGATTACTACTCCGAAAATCATAACAAATTTAAAAGTATTTCAACAAGCAATAAAAGAATCAGTAACATCCCACATGCGACATCAGGATTCTTATCTCAGACGTACAGATTGTTAAGATCCCAAATTACACAAAATTTCTGCAAATGTATTCCCAACGCAACAGAGACCAAACCTTGTAAAATGATTTCAACGAACGACATTTTCCTGCGTGTAGGTAAACTGAACAAATCGGCGACTGCACTGAACAATTTATTCCTCCATCAAAAAAATATTTTATGGATACTTCATTCTCCCTTTATTGATATTCTTAGGAAAAGAAACAAGTTTCTACTTAATCCTCGATTTCTTCAATTATTTCGTAATACTTTGATTGTACACAACTGTTTATTAATCAAATTAACTCACTAAAACAGAATGCAGGAAAATTCGATACAATTTTATAAATAAAAAACTAATCAAGTGTTTTAACTCTCCGAGAAGACGATCTTTTTAATCTTAGAAACAATTATTCCTTAAAAACTAAATTATACATCCAAATGTTAAATACTAGATTCTTTATTCTTTCGTAATACAAATACATAAAAACAATGATTAATTATTTATTATCACAATGCTTACGTGACACTACTGTTGAGTTATTTACACTGCTAAATATTTTGTCTAATTACTAATGATCAGTGACCATAACAACAGTCAACATGTTAAACAACTAAATTATGCATTCGCATCCTTAAATTTCATATGCCAAACCCCAAAATTACCATTAAAGCCTCCTTCAACGACAAAGTATTAAACAACGGATCAAAAACCAAAAACATTCAAAACTCAGAATTACTCTCTTGAACCTACCGAACGACTGAATTATAAATCAACCTATAAATCCTCATTCACCGAACCTAGTCGATTGACCCATTGCCGATCCACTCCAGTGTGTTCCAGGCGCGCCGGTGTCAACGGGAAACGTTGCGGGTCGCAGGTGCCTCAATGGAGTGTACTAAGAAAATAAATTTTTTAAGAGACCCGTTATGCCCGCCGGTGAATAATCAGTAGGCGCGCGGCGTGCCGGGCTTAAGAAATCATTCAGCGATGGCCGGTGTCTCGAGTCGTCCCTGAGCCGCCTCGCGTGGAGAGAGGGACTTAACTACTCGGTTCCAAAATGGGGGTACGGCGTACCGTACGTTCACCGTGCTGGCGTTCACCTCAGTTTTATCGACGTATTTTTCTCCTTCCCTCCCGTCCCTCTCGCCCACCTATTTCCATCCATTCCAGCGGTTTCCAGAGGCCTCGCTCGCGCGGGCATTACATACCATTCCATCCCTCGCCTGATAACCGAGTCGACCTCGAAAAATTTCTGCTGTACCATGCGAATCGATCCCTATCTCTCATCCAACAGACGAAGGTCGCTAACTGTTAACCATTCGAAAGCTACTACGACTTCTAAACGTTCAGTTATTGGTAAAGGGATTTGTTTTATTGATCGTATGCTTTGGTAGGATTTGGAATGTTTTCTTCGATGGTTTAAACGCCGCGATACCATATCATGATGCGCTAGCAAGAAATTCGAGCACTCCCCGCGGAAGAGTACAGCATGATTTTATCGATATTCCGGGTAATGTGGAACCGGTTCTGGAGGACGAAAGTGTCCCGGAATATTTTCGGAATTAAAGAGTTCAACACGGCGTGTCGTGTTTGTTCAACGTAATTCGAGGAAACGGGTAAGATTCTTCGGGGAATTGTGATATTTGAGAGAGATGTTTCGGTGAATTGCGCTGTCGGTATGATGGACGGATTACCGGCATTGTCGTTAGATGGAACTTGAGTGCGCGCGGGAAATGTGGTTCGTTTGAATTTTTGCGGGATTTTTGTTCGTTCTGGGTAAAGTTTTTGATAAATTTGTATGATTTTGTATTTGTATTTGAATATTTTGGGAGTATTGTTTTGGAGATATAAAATTCGCATATTATTTATTGTGAACTATATGAGAGTAATTATAAGTATGCTTTTCATTAATGAAAATTCACTATGATTGATGAAATATTGATATATTTGTTTATATATATCTGATAAAGCAGAGCTGCAATTTAAAGATGTTTTATAAATTTCTGCCTTAGTGCGTAATGTCGTTTTAAAATAGAACCTTTATTATTTATTATACTGTTTAAAAAACTTTCCTTGCTAGATACAAAAAGAGTGACGTCATGCGCTTGTAAAGTGTGACCATGTACTCCTTTAACGGGCTTAATGAAGAGGAAAGGGATCGTGAACGATTAAAGGGAATTTGACGCAGAATTTTCTGCTCGTCTTTATGGCGAGAAGTGATTTTTGTAAAATATAATGCTTTCTGAAAAATAATTGGACTTTTAAGTACTCGAATAATGGCACACTCATGACTCAAAAGGTTCGTATTAATATTAAACAGTACCAATACTCTCTCGGGACAAAGTGCACTTGTTTCTCAAACACGATCTCAACCGGTTACAACATCTTCATTCATGTCTTCCTACATGCAACTGCTAAAATGTCATGCGTACCATTTAAATGTCACGGCAACAGAAGCAATGATATTTTCTGTGTTGTGAGATCATCAATGGAAGCGACGATAGTAGCCGAATATTACAGTAGAAGACTTATTAAGTGTCTAGAATTATTTATTTAATAGTGTTATCGTTACATACATTGATTCTATTTGTTTACAAATTGTAATGCAGTATTAAAGTAACTTAAAGAGTACAATCATAAAACAAAATGAAAAAATTATAGTTTGTGTATGTTCAGATTTATTCGGAACATCGAATATTAATAGTGAAAAGTGTCATTCCTTTTTAACTTCAAAATAGAACAACCTCCGTTACTCGAATTTTTGATTACCAAAGCATGGAGGCATCATTTAGCATTTGTTTTAATATCCAATTATTCAAACTATTTAATTATCCAAACCATCTTACACGTTCGCTACCAGTGTCACATATTTGTGACGGGCGCAATCTTATATTTTACATAAAGCAAATGAAATTAATCTAATAGGTACTGTTATTTAAAGTTATAAACTGCAGCATTATATTTAGGAAGTCAACAACTCGTTTCAATTTCATTTTTTTGATGTTTTGTTCAGAAGATTTATTGGATTGAGTAAAATATTACCATTGCGGGGTCCACACCGAAATAAACGCTGGTAGGGAACGCGTTAATCCCAATTAATTTATCCCAAATTCTACAATAAAGTAACAATATCCATTTTCCTCAAATTGAGTTTAAAACATATTAAAACAAAACACAATCTCCCATTTTCTAGTAGAGGTACAAACAACCATTTAAACCCATTTAATCATCTAAACCACCTAATCCTAATTACTTCAAACAATCAAAATTCCACTATAAACCAATAGCACGCGTTTCTGTCAAAGTAATTACGAAAAACGTTAAAGACAAACGCAATTCTCTATTTTCCCCAGCATAGGTACACACTACCAATCAGTCCGGAAACGTCTGAAGAGCATCTCAACCGGAAGCGTTTCTGGGGTCAGGAGATCACCGAGTCATCGCGAAACCCAGCTTATCGCTGACCGCGAACGTATTCCTTCGAGTGTGATCCCGGGGTGACGAGAAAATCTGCGCGAGCGCGGATCACCGCGGACACGCATGTGTGTTCCACGCTCGGCCGCAGAAGTTCCGTTCTGCGTCTCGTCTCGTGCGGACGCGCGACCGCACTTTGAGCCAGCTGCGAAAATTGCCGAGAGCTCGCGAATTCTTCGGTTGAGTCACGTGAACGCGATTTCGAAACACCTAATCAGCTCGCTGATAGGGATTTCCGCGACGATTTCCGCGTACCTCGACTGACGCAGAACCAGCTGAGTACCACTGACCGGCTGACATGTCGGTGTTCGCCTGTTGCATCCGTCGGGTGAGTTTCATCTTCCCATTGGATGCTTGTCGCACAAAAATCGGCGAACAGTAATATTTCTATCGAGCTGTAAAAATCGATAAATGTAAGTGATTTCTATGTATAAAATTTGAGTTGTAAGGTTTACATGCTTAAGTTCGTTCAGTTTCAAAGTTGATGACTATTATTTATTTTACTGTTTTTGTATTGGTCAGTTGTTTAGTTGATGTAACATTTGCTTAGCAATAAAGAAAGAGAATAAAAATAATGAAATGCAAATTCAGAATGTTTGGTTCGGCGAGGTCTGATCATGGATCCGCGTGGACCCAGACATGGTCATTTATATAGTCACTAGAATTACCGGTAATGCGAGGGTTAAGCAATAAGTTCATGCAATTTATTGTTTTTTTGTTCACGATTAAGTATTATATTAAATTGCAATGACCATAAATGTTTCACGCTTATTTCGAGTACGAAAATTTTTCCATTCGTTAATTTAAATAAACGAAATCTTCAAATGGTCAGCAAAATGTTGTATAAAAAGTTTCACATGAAATTTTAGGGTATTTACTAAACAGTGTCTATAAATTCTCTTTTATTTACACTTTGTAAAACGTACCTTTCCTTATCTTTCCAAGGAAAAATGATTTATTATCTTACAATTAGACATCTAGATTAAATTATCATCCATCCAACAACTGTTAAAAAATATTCATTAAATGGAGTCTCACTTTCACAAATAAATTACCCACAATTACAATCTACAATCATCTACTACTCACGCCTACATTACACTTATTCTGTAAAAAACTAACAGTCTTATTCTGCCTACGAAACATATCAGCAAATTCACAACATCCAGGAGTAATATGTAAAAATGAAAAACACAACATTTTGTTACGTTATTAACGAATCTCCAACGAAGTCCCGAAGCCCAGGTTACCGAAGATTCAGGGACGAAAAGAAAAATAAAGAAGAGGCCACTTGTTTACCAGCGAACAAAAAAAAATCGGTGTCGCGTCGATTCTTCCACGACCACGGGCCTAGCTTTAATTCTTGCTCACCCCTGTCGCTCAGGTGGCAGAATCGGTAAACAGAAAAACGAAGTTAAATCCGCGTTTGCGGGGACCCGGTGAGCCTGCCCGTAGGCTCGCTTAGGGTGAACGGATACATTTTCCGCTACTTAACGGATTTCATGCTCAACTATCAAAGAGATCGCGTCCTTGCTCTAATCAGCGCGCGTATTAATAGAACGCGACTTGGTTTCAGCGAAATTTTCTTGGAATTGTCTACGGAGCGCGTTCCCTTTCTTAGCTCCTGCGGACATGTTCGTTGATAAAGGAAGTGACCGTTCGGAAAATAGGTTTCTGACGAAGAAAAAAAAGTAAAATAAGTAGAAGAAGAAGACGTCTGCTTTTTTTAGTACAAGATGTTAGAACGTTCGATCACGATTTAACGAAGCGTACGACAGATTAATTTTACTCGAACCCTTCTTTTTTTAAGTCGGCTTCGTTCAACGAGCCTGCCAGGCTCTGATTTCCTGACCGAACGGAAAAGTTCACGATCAGAAATCGTTCTCCCGATGAATCTTTATGGTTGTTTTTATTATCCTCGGTTTTTTCCTTTTGGTTTTGTAGAATCATCGACGAATGGAGGACGCTAGGCAGCAAGCGTTGCTGAAGGAGGCGCCGGAGATATCCTGGGAGAACACGTTGGGAGCGCCCAACGGCGTGCCTTTTGATGAGGACACGAAGGAACTGCTGAGGAAATGCCTGGAGGTCTCTGCACCGACGCCCACGACCCTGGCACAGATCATCAAGCGAAGCGAGGCCTTCCCTATAAATTTCCCAATTAAAACGACTAGGTGCTCTACTTTGAGGGACAGAGGAATTGCCACAGATATACTCGAGGTTTATCCTTTATTATTGAGCAATCACGTTTCCTTGTTCTCGTTTTTATAATTGCCGGTTGAACAGAGATCGTCCTGTTGGATTTTTTTTTATTCAGTTATCTTTCTATTTTTGTTCCCCTTTCATCTACATTTCTACTATTTTTAATAGGTTACATTCGAAATGGATTTAATAGTGCTTCTTGTGAAATAACGAAAATTTGAATATTGACCCATAATATTAAAAAATATGAAATTATTAAGAATAAACCATAAAATATGAAAAATAAAATCCAGTGCCATTTTGAATTAAAAAATACTTATCTATATATCTATATAAATATTTATCTTGCCATAAATAAAATAATTTTTTTTTATTTTACGCTGAAATATATAAATATCTATTTTACATTTCAATTTTAATAAATTTGTATTAGAAATTTGTATGAATAAAAATTTGATCTTGCAGTAAGATTTCATTTTTTCTCACATTCATCGCAGATGAACGCGAACTCGGTTTATCCGTTGATACACGAGGCGATGCTGCCATTGCTCGCGCGATGGCTGAAGCACAAACAATTGTACGGGAGCGCCATAGAAAGGGCGGTGTACAAGGATATGGGATTGATACAGTTTATTCACCGTTTATTGGAGAAGCGAGCGGTGCACTTCTATGGACCCGACGATCGATGGAAACTCATCGATGGAAAGACTGGAGTCGATGGATGGGAAAACGTTGGTACCGACCACGAAAAGGAACCCTTGGTTAGTACTTTGTTGGCATATATAATGTATACGCGAACCATTTGCATACTCCCATTTGTATAATCCTTACATTAGCGACTAAAATGTTTGCGTTTGTTCAAAATCTAATGTTACAACATTTTTGCATGAGTTTGTTACATCTAAAGCACAAATTGACACAAAATATTTAAAAAATGGAGATCCACAGCAACTTTGTCATACTTTCCACTTCTCAATAATCATTTGATATCAACGTAATAATTTGAGTAGAGGAAAATTTCAAAATAGGTGCCTCGGTACTTGGTCGTTAACATAAGGGTTAAAATATTTTTATGGACATTGAGAATTATTTATGTGATTAGAAAAAATCGTACGACTTTCTGTTATCTTTAATTGAAGAAACGTTGCTAGAAACGTGTCTTCTACTATTATTGAATATTTTTCTCTCTTCACTGAAATGTATTGTAAAAAAACGAAGTGTAAACATATTTTATTGTAACTTATTAATTTAATATTTTCGTGTTTGTCAGAAATAATGGGAACATTATGATACATGTTTATTAACAATATTTTCTCACAATTGAACGAAATGTCAAGTCATTCGTGTCGTGTGGAAGTAATTTATTATTGATAAAAGTGGTGTAGAACGTGAAACAAAAGCTTCGATAACAGTACGAATAGATTACTTGTTCAATATGGCCTCCATTTTGTCTCGCGACCCCGATTCTTATTGAATCGTTTTGATTGAGAATTTATATACTGCGGTGCCCCCATGCATGACCATGTAGATACAAAATGCATCAAGATTGACAAAAATGGAGAATTATAATCTATTTCTCAATATATCGCTGAGTTAAAACAAAATACAATTTTTTTATATTTAATCTGATCAAACTGAATCTTCTAAAAAAACATAAATACGATTTAAGCACTGCGCAAACTAATTATAGTATCAATAATATTGTCATTAATTATTCCATAATTATGAAGATATTATTGAAGAAAAATTAATTCCAATTTAATAATTGAAAGATTAATCATAAACTAAAACGAATTTTGTTATCGACAGGTCCTGACGAAATGCTTGTCCTACGACGAGATCAAGTTGTCCGCGATGTTAGCGATGTCCTCTCACACCGAATTCATAAACGACGGCTCGCGAGAGAACAGAGGCGTCGTGAGTACCGATCCAGACTCCATTCAGCCGCGAGGAGTCATTATAGGTGTCGTGGGAACAAGGTTTCACTTTGTTTATTTAACGTTTACCATTAACAAAAAAACATCTCTATTGAATTGTCAATTACCAACCATTAAATTGCATTCCCGTCACATGGGAACACTCGTCTCACTTTCTATTATATTCTTCGCAGATTCGAACGACAACGCGTCATGGACTACCAAGACATTCTTATTACACCTTTACAAAACACCGTGGATAATGGGTGAGTCAAGTTTCACGAACAAGTTCTATTTAAAAAAGGAATAAACCGTCATACCGTTTATGAACTCATTCACTGTTGTGTCGACCACTGATAACGAATATCATAACTTTCAATAGCGCAATGGAAGTCACTATAGCCTGATTGAATTTTTAAATTTGCTTTACTGTTTAATACAATAAAAAAGATTATATATTTAAAGTTTGCCATAAAATATGAAGTACAAAAATTTTAGTGTTATTACGTTACTTTCATTCAGACGTTGTTAAGAATTATAGTGTTTCCATTGTTATCGCAAGTTTCTTTTCGATTTGTAACAGTGAATTTTCAAAATACTTTATTTATTTATTTAAAGGATCCAGATAATATAAAAATATTCAGATTAACACTCATATATACTGAAAAGAAAGATTTTTATTATTATTTGTTTATGTTTATTTGATTGTATAACGTGTTCTGCAAGTTCCATGGTACTTGTGTAGTTATGGACCTCCCAACTCCGGCAATTCAGAGGAGCAACGAGGATTGCGTGCGTTATGGGCAAAATTTTACGGTGAAGATTACCACCCGCTTTATGACGAAGCCGTGAAGCGTGTGAAGTCGAAGGATAATAAGAGATATCTCTCGCTGTCTAGTCAGACTATCTTCGACGTCGAGAACTACATGAAAAGGACCCTTGTGACTGTGGAGATTATTCTACTCGAAGCGAACACACGCGCCGAAAAACAGAATACGACTGCCTTCATACATATTATAGGATTTGGTCTCGGTTAGTATCGAAATGTTCCATTTTAATTTGCTATTTTAACCTTTAATTAAATTTCAAAAATTTATGTTTGTAAAAGAATCTGGTGTCATTTTTTGACACCTAGGACCCAAGGCCACATGGACATTTTTTCTTTAAACAAATAAACGAATGTTTTCGTTTCTAGCAATTTAACAAAAAACAATTAACTTTGTAACAAAATTAAAATTCCTGATGTACTAGCATTAACCGACAAAATTTCGTAAAAAATACATCTCCAAATACATTTACTTCAAGAAAGGCATGGTTTTTTTAATCAACTTCCAACTGTAAATGAAACAAATTACTTTTACAACTACCAAAAAGAGTATTAAACGACAGCATAATATGTACATTCTACAGAAACAAAACTTTCAAATCAAAAGTCACGACACGTACCAACCCAGTGATCGGAATTTGATTTTCAGGTGTTTGGAGTATAATGCAGGACCAAGAAATATACTTCCTGAAAACCTTCGAAATCGCGATCAAGAAGATGAACAAAAAGCTGAGATATGTCTCGGACATAATGTTCGCGTATTTCACCCAACAGAAATGCGGCGACATTGGGAACGGCGACTATCTCGGAGGTTCGCTAACGATTTCAATTGTGCTGTCCCGATGAGAAACCGAGATTGCCGCAAAATGACCCGTAATTTTGTTGCAGATATAAAGATACATTTCGCTCTTAGGGAGCCGCACGCCCGGTTATTCAGAGCAACGGACGCGAACAAGCTTCTAGTGGTGACGTACGCGTGGGATGGTAACGCGCTGCCAGGTCTGTCGATTACGCTTCAATTGCTTGGTCCGCGTCCCGCGATTTCCACTGGGAATCTCTGAAACGAATCTTCCCGCAGGGAACGAATTCTGGAGCGGATTCCTTTCGTCGAGCGGTGACCCTGCCGCGGCGTGCAGCAGCCAAGTGGCTGAGCTGCACACATCCAGAATTAATCCCCGAGCTTGCGGCGCCAGCTTGCACGTGGCCTCCGCTGAACATGGTATTTTACACATATCGGATTACGCGAAACTACACCTCACTTAGGTGACCCTCTCATTTTATTGTCGACGGAAGATCGTGAACTGGACGTGCGCCTCTTTTAACTTCTTAGCATACAAAGGCATGCGAGAGATGTCGTAAGAGTTTCTTGAGCTTGATCTAATAAAAGTCAATTTTACTTCGTTGGTACATGTGAATGATTGATTATAACAAAATGATCTTTATTTTACATAATCTATTAATGTTCTAAGTAATCTATAATTCATAATAATGTGTAAATATTATTATAATCCATTAGTGTTTTACGATCAACGTATGGCGAGGGTTTAACTAGCCTTTAGTTGACTGAGTCTATCCCGACTTTCCGATGTTCAGGAAGTTGATCTGATTTCTTACTTTATAAAAATTACTTCGATGCACAGCCGAGGGAACCTCCAAAAAATGAACTCTGAAAATGTTTACTTTGCAACTGAGAAATGATAAAAATAAAACAATTCTCGTAATTCTGGTAGGCTTCTCGCTTCATCTAAGAAATCAAACTTATCAAATAATTCAACACAATGAAACATCTGCTGTTAAGTAACTCCTAAGAAGTGCAGCTCCAGGTCACGATCTCCAATTTCCTCTATCAAAGAAACAACATATTACTAACGATACCCCGTTTGCAGGAGCGGGCTGGCCCGTTGGGCACCACTGGTCAGCGAAGACCCTCACGATCTCCTCGTAGTCAGAGGAGCCGTAGCGCGGACGTTGATTGTCTGAAAAAGTACACGGAAAGACGAGTGGAAGAAAGGAGGCATACAGACATCGTGGACACCAGCAAGCTGGACCCGTCTAGGTGGATACCGTTGACGAAGAACATGAGTCGAAGCACGCCAACGACGTCGAAGAAATCACCGCAGTCCGCCAGAGACGACGAGAAGCGTCGTTCGGTGACGGTGGACATCGAGGAGGCGTTCAACGACATTTTGAAGCCCACCGTGCCCACTCCAAAGAAACTGACACCGACGAAGGAGGAAGATGCGACGAAGGGCGCCGAAGAGAAAGAGGACGCGTCAACGTCGACGACGGCGACGACGACCCCTGGAAACAGAACGGCGACCGGCAGGAGCCATAGCGCCGCGGACGTCGTCCATCATGCAAAGAACGAAAAACTCGTCGAGGAACGAAGGCATACGGAGGCAGACCCCCGAATGATCGCGACGAGGTTGACAGAGCACATTTTCCTAGTCAAAAAGAGACCGATTCCGTGAACGCATAGACTAACACGAATACTCATAACATAATAACACTAAAATAATCGATAACCATAAACGATAATGATAGAGAATTGTCGATCGTCACGCTCGTGGGATAAGTTAACGATAACGAAAACAAAAAGTAACTAATGAATATACCATAACGTTGCACTAACCTCGTTGTAAATCGGATTAATAGACGATACGATAAAAAAAAAGACGTAATAGAAAAGCAGGCTGCGTTAACACGTTTAACTACATTTGTCGTATAATGCGAGTTCGATGTACCGCACCGTGTATGTATAGTCGATGTCGGTCGTTGCTGTGGAATAGAGAAACTAGAGAAAAAAAAAGAATAATATGAAACGAATGTTGTATATGTGAGAGCTCTCGTTTTTTTCGGTATAAATATAGGATGCAAAAAAAAAATGAAATCGTATTATATACGTGTATATATAATGCATATACATATATTATATATACTATATACTGACCGTTTCTGGCGTTAGACACGCGAATCGCATCGGGTCTCGGCAATGACGGCTTTCTCAGTAACGAATACCTTTAGGTGGCTACCGCAAATTAACACCTCAAGGTTCCGCTACGACGCTACGTCACCACTCGCCAGGATCAGCAGCAGCGAGATCACGAAATACGCGGCTGCCAGGTGGTTGACGTTCGTCAAGAATCCGTCCCCGTCCCCGTTACCTCGTATGAACCCAGAAAGAAAGTCATCGACGTCGTCGGCGGCGGACGCGCAGCGGATCGACGTTAAAATCACATCGCCCAAGTGGGAGCCGATGAGAAAGTTCTCGTCGGTGCCGACGACTAAGGTCGACGGGGATGCTGCGCAGGAGAAAGGTGAGGGGCGCGATCGATGCTCGAACATTATACGGTGGAACCTCGGTTGTCCAATTTAACACTAAACGTAGCGGCACTTTGTATACACCTATTCCTACCGTAACTAGTCAGATAACTGATTACCAAATAAAGGTAAACAAATTAGATGATAAATTTTTCTTAGTGAAAACAGGCACAAAAGGAAGCATAAAGATTGAAATACTGATTAATCGGACAATATGGGAATTGATATAGAGTTAAATAACACTAGAACTACCGAACAGTCGAATTAACTTTTTCAAATTTTTGTATGGAAACGTTTTTAATAATTGGGAAAGAAGAATTCAGCAATAGGTCAGTTTAAGGCATTTCATAGTTCTAGTTAATTGGTCGGCTAACACTTGAGAATAAACGTTTCATAATATATTTGTAAAGTTCGGTCGTATGTATTTGAAATTATTATCTGAAAATTTGAGTTACTGAGTTACAACTTAACGAAGGCTATACATCATAAATCGTGAAAAATAGCGACTCAGTTAATTGAGGTACTACTATAATATTTGTTCGATATGTCAGCGAGAAAATTTCTATATGAAGTCATGTCACCCGAATTTAAATATGAAGTAAAAGAAAACGATGATAATTGTTCTTTTATTGATCAGTCAGGATCGTATTGGTTTATAGAACTTAATCTACTGAGGCTTAAGTTAATTTACATTTTAAACGTGAATTAAAAGGATGAATAATTACAGATGAAGCAGGATCTAATCGAGATTCACCGTCGAAGAAGCTATCCCCTGACTCGGCCGAGCAAACGAACAGACTAAAGCAACGTATGCAAGATCTGTATGATTTCAAAACAGAGAATGAATGGCCGAAGAGAACGTTGCATGCTCGCCGTGAAAACATATGGATCAGCAAGAGTAGCAGCGAGGAAGATAAATCTAATCAGCCTGTGCGCAGGAATAGTCAAGATTTGGAGTTCAACGACAGAGTAAAAGTGATCAAGGTGAGCTCACATTGATCAATGAAACGAAATTTCCTATAATTATCGAGAAACACAAGACTCTACTAATTACTAATAAAAAAAAACAATAAAAATAACAAGTAAACTTTCACTTTCATTTTGACAAAATGCATCTTTTATCTTCAACCCTTAAATTTATCTAAACGTTTAATACGCATAGTTTCAGAATGCTTATTATGATAAGTTTTCTAAAAACCCACAACCGACTAATTAAGAACTTTTATAAAAAAAAATAATTTATAAATCCTCCAAAATTTCATTTTCAAGATCCAAATAATTAACACGTTAAATACTATTGGAGTCATTTAAATTAATTAAATAATTAATTTAATAAATCAATTAAATAATTCGATATTACATTTTTTTCATTTTGTATATTTCATCAATGATTCCAATTCCTTGCATTTATTTCTGAATTATCATCCGCGAAGCTCATAATCATAAACTTCCAGTTAAAGGACACGAAGGTGCAATCGGATTTCCAAAAACCAGAGGAGTCTTCGCCGAAGAAGCAGGAAAGCGAGAAGAAAGGCAGCGAAGTCTTCAACAGCGAGTACGAAGAACGTCTAAAGAAGTTCAATGAGAGACTAAGGTATAGCGAAGATCTAGGTACAGCGAAACCAAAGCTAAAGGAGAGGAGGACGTACTCCGACGACCACGAAGAGAAGGTCCGTCGAACCCGGTCAGCGAGAACCTCGCGTTCGGACAGCACGCAAGATGGCCGCCAGCCTGTCTTACAAAAAAGGAACTCGGATGCTAGCACCAAGTCCAGAGGAAGCTATGCTGAAGTGAGCCCCGTGAAAAGGGATTCGCGTACAAGCGACGCGAGTTACGTGAGTATCAGTGCAAAAAGGGCTAGCGTCGATTGCAAAAGTACACAGAAAATGGTGGAACTTCCGCCAAGAAGAGCTTTCAGCCAAACGGAAGAAAGGCCAGCAACGCCGGTGCCACCAGTCGAATGGAACGATGATCGTTATGCTGCGGCTCGTTCAAAAGTGCTCTTGGAACGCCAGAAAAGGGACAGTACGAGATACAAAGTGTACCTGACGTAAACAGACGAATTTCTTATGGATAAAATATTTCTGGGTCCTGCGAATGTAAGTTTCTTCGATGGAATGAATCGAGCATAGAAGGTGTAACATCTTAAACACATGAATTTCTTATAAAAAATTTTCAGTTCTGCCAGTTGTGCACTATTTTAATGAAATCGAATCAGAAGGATGTGATAAAGTTGTTGGCAAATGGGTTTCTTGTGGATAAAATATTTTTAATTCCATGAATTTTGCAGTTTCTTTAACAAAATCAAAGCATAGCAACATTGACAGTCTTGTGTATTTAGATGTTTTTTACAAACGAAGTGTCTTTGATTCTAGAGTTGCAATTCCTTCAACGAAATCAAGTCAAGAAAATATAATGATCCTCGTCGATCATTCTCCTGGTTCCGTTTTGCTCGAATGGACTCGAGGACACTTAGGTACGGATATCGAAAGGTGTGCTGCACTGCGTTTCGTATAGTTTTCGTTTATTTCGAGTGGATCCGCTAGCCAGCTCGTAGAAAGAAATTATCGGTATAAAGTGTTACGTGTAATGTAAACGTTGAATGGTCACGCCCCTTAAACGATCCTCTTTCGCCACGTTCAATGTGAGATTCTTGGGTACGTGTATACCAGTGACCGGAAGTTTCCACGTAACGGGTGTGACTCGGAACGTCATCGTGCAAGTTACCGGTGCTCGATCACGATGCCAATGCGTTGATGTATCTTAACGAGTTTCGGAGACATTTCGATACCTTCTCCCAGTGTTTGTTAAAGATACAGCACCATCGCACGGTGGCAATTGAACGCGAGTTACTTGAACAGAGGATGCAATTAATACTGTACAAACGATGTAATGCGATTTAACTAATAAAATATTCTTTGAGAAAGACAACGATTCGATCCGCGGTAAGTATCGGCGTCGAAATACATTGCGTGCTCGTGGTCGCCGACTTCTCTACTATGGAGGACTAATACTTTGATCTTTTTACTGGTTACACTTTTTTCTCTTCCCTTGACTGATTTTCTTTTTGACTAGACTGGCGATTGTTGAAATGACTTGAAGAAAAAATAATCTTTGCATTGAAACAAGTAATAGACTAATAGATGACTGATAGATAATTATAGACTGCAGAACTTTTTTACACAAGTTTGTGCATAAGAATTTAGAGAAATAGGAATTCAATGAATTTTGACTTTCTTTGCTATTGGTTTTCGTAAATTAATGGACAAATAAAATTGTATTAATTTTTATTAGATTTTGTATTTTATAAGTTTTTGAAAATACTTGTTGATTATGTATTTATAAAGATCCGCAGTCTAATACTGAAGAATTTGAACTAACGTGAATATTTCTGTACAGAGATTCATGTAACACGTCTTGGTGGTTTATTAAAAAAAATCTTGTTGGTGACGTCATGGTAAAAAAGGGTTCGTTTCTGTTCAAATTTAGTTTCTTTAGGTACATCAGAAATGAACCCCTGTATCATAGAATAATTCAATTAAAAAGAAATAATTGATGATAAATAACTTCTTTTACAATCTAGTACCATTATTATCTTCTTATGATAACTTATTACTTTGAACTTTCATATATGTATACTGATACTTCTTGAACCTATCATTTCATCGCCAAACAAACGAAAATGACATTTCTCAGAGTAACACGTTTACAACTTGATTTCACTATTTTATAATTTATACTCTATACGAGTATCGATTCCTTTGTTCTGTTTAGGTTCGAACGAAGGAACAAAGAAATTGTTTTAACAATGAACTTTACATCACCGTATTAACACATTGTTGACGGAAGGCGTCGATTGGAGTCTTCCATATCACAAATACCAACGATAGAAGATATTCACACTTTGCATACAAAAATTTCCATATCTAGAATAGAAAATTCTACACAAACTATTTAATTATTCAAACAACAAAAGATCAATTTACAGTTTTCTTGTTTTCTACCACTTACGATTTCAATATACAATTCAGCTCACTACAGAAAACCTTCTTAACACATTAAAACATCCTCTTTAACACTTTAAAGAATAATAATCAACGAAATTATTTCAAAATCATTATTCTGTTACTAAATTTTAATAAAAAAAAATCTTATTCAGTTAAATAATTACATTTTTCTAAACATGCGCGTACCGTCAACAACGCGTCAACAATCAAAACATTGCCCTAAATCAATTACTCGAATCGTTCCTTAAACTCGATTGGCGCTCCAAAGACAAACGCTTTACCATTACTACTTTCAAGGGATTTGATGGGCAACCAATATAAAATACTCACGACCGAAACACCTGGACTTGGCGCCCATACTTTACTTCCGCTCGACGTTCCGGAAGTCGTTGCGGTACCCGGGATTCGAGTCTTTGACGAACGTGACTTTCACTCTTTTCCTAACTGGTACGTTGTGAGCAGAGGACGATAAAGTTTTGCAGTCTTTCACCTGATTAGAATGTTCATCATCCTCCCTTTCAATTTTCAGCCTCTTCTGACCACAGTTCGACATGCTTCCGTTCACCGTGGCCACATTGTTGCTCAAATTAGTATTCGATGAACAATTCGTCAGGATGTTCGAACTGTTTACAGTTTGCACGTTGATTTGAGGCGACTTTGGGAAAGTTGTAGGCCTAGGAGGACGTATTAGACTCCCGTTAGTTAATGTACCGGGTGGAAAAGTGTTTTGAACGATTGCTGAAGGTGTCACGCTCCTTTTGTTCATCGAAGCGGACATATTGTGGACACTGGGAGCGATCATCAGCAGGTTGTTGCCGTTCTTATCACACGCCATGTGGGAGACAGGGTGTTGAGTCTGTTTTTGCACGGTAAAGTTCGTTCTGTAGGCATTGTGATTCTCGCTGATGTGTTTCTCTTGTTTTAAAAAGGCTACTGACGGCTTATTTGAATATACGGTTGAATTCTGTGTGTTGAACGCCGGCTCGCATTTGATTCGCACCTCGTGCTGGGGGATCTCGTTGCGGTCCTGCGCCTTCTGCCACTCCAGAACGTTACTTAGCAGTCTTATGTACCTGGAAAATGTTGCTCATTAATGAATTATTTATGACACTTGGGTTGGAAAGATATAAATTAATTAGATGGAGAAAGTGAAATTGATTATATGGATAGATTAGAAAGATTAGTTATAATGGATGTCGATTATTATATAAGATCATTTGTAATTGATAGATTGAAAATATTCAGATTGCATCTTTATTTGCATGAATCGATTGATAAACATTTTTAAACAAATAGCGACACATCTTTCCTGAGAATTATATGTGATATAAATAATTCGTGAACATTTTATTGAACTATAACAAGATTATTTTTATTATAATTTTCAGTTATATGTTTGCAGACTTCGAAGCCGATACTTTTTATGTTTCTGTTCTCTTAGTAAATATCAAGAAACAGCTATTATGATTTTATAGGAAAGCAGGTTTCTAACATTTCAAAAACGTGCTTACCGTATCGCCAGACGTAAAATTTCGTTCTTAGATAATTTTTTATCGGGCGGATGGGTGGGCACCAATTTTCGAAGCTCGGCGAAGGCACCGCTGACATTCTGTTGTCTCCAGCGTTCACGGCTGTTTGTGAATAATTTCCGGACACCTAGAGTTCCCACTCGAAGTGTCGGCGAGCCGAGATGGCCACCCCCAGTGGGCGAAATGCCGTCTAGCTACGAAATTATTACAGAGGATTTTAAAAACCATCGAATATGCAATTAAAAGAAAAGGTACGAAGTTTATCTTATTATGAAAGTGAAAAAATAATTTTCTGTGCAAATAAGAATTCTTAAAATTATGCAAAACGCAAGATGATAGAAGGTAATAACGATATTTAGGGTAATTAAAGTATGTTTCATCCCCTTTTGCTATAGTGGACCCACTTCAAATCAAATGACTTTTAAATGATACCTTCAATTAATTATTATTAGGCGTGTCAATAAATAATTCAATAATGATATTAAATAATGAGAAATCTGTGAAAATAAATGTTGAATTTAGTAAAAATTCAATATCAGAACCGTGTCACCACAGTCCTTACTCATACGATTACTCGTACGTTACTCATCGAAACACAATGTTATGAGTAACACATCATATTAACTCGTGAATTACTTCTATTACACGCGAAACAGAACTAAACATACATCCCTAATTCCTAATTCTCAAAATAAAATTATTCGTCAACAACTCAATTCAAAAACTAGATTTACGGACATTTATTCTATACTTTATTCTATTGTTCCTAGAAAACTAAATGTTCGTTCATATAGATCGTAGAAATTAGAGCCTCAACAACAGAGAATCACAATGTGTATTCGCATAATTGTGTGAATCAAAATCGACTGAAACCGTCGCCAAATGATGTTTAAAAAATTCAGTGTCCATCGAACTGACTGGTTCCGTAAATCTAATGTTAACCTGTTAACTGTGGAATTTAGTTTAAAAAGTCTCTTGTTTTGCATACAATAAAATCAAAAAATGAAGTGTATACTCGTCAAACACAAAACGAATGCACTTAGAGTATATTTTAATGAAAATCCAAAGCAAAACGAAGAAGAATTGTTTATCTGAGAAAATAAATAATTCTTCATTGAAAGAATCAATATCATTTCAAGCTTTAAGATGACCTATATACTCATTAAACACAGTTAGCTGGTTAAACGAGAGCGAACAAAAAATGAGCTCACAGAGTTAGTGCGATCCCTTCGTTTCTTCCCTTGATCATCCTCGTCGTCCGTGTCGTGAGAATAAAACTCGTCGGATAACGTCGCCTCTTCCTCAGTGTCCCTGGGCGTTCCAGGTGAATCCCCGACCTCCTCGGCGAGCTCTCCTTCGGCAGACAACAAGGACTCCGCTGGAGAACCGTTCTCCGTGTCGACGACACCTCCGGCGCAGCCGTTGTACGTCAGCATCGACTGGAATTTGTAAATTACTCGCCTCGGTTTTCTGGTACCTCGACGAATCATGCGACTCATTCGTTCGAATTTGCCACAACTGTTTTTTTGTTTCGCGATCTTTAAATTCACAAGGATCCGATCCTCGAACGTTTTAGCGCCGTATGACACGATTAAATGACCGATGACAAAAGCCGCGGGAAATCTCATTGAATTATCGCGGACGAAATTAGCCTACATAGCGCCAACAGGATGCTCATATCACACCCCCTCTACGCTATTGTCCCTGACATTCAGTAGATATACAAGCCGCACGCGTCGATTACTGCGTTCCGTGGTGGTCGTTGTGAATCTCGCTTGAACGATTCTTGAAGCGTCGAACACCGAGAAGGAAGCTTTCTCAACCCTTACGTTAGCAATCAAAATGTTTGCACTCGTTTGAACTTGAATTTTGTGATATTCTTATGTGAATTTTTAATTTGGTTTTTAATTTTAATTTTAACTTATCGATGTGTAATTGTGTTACAGTATTCTGTAATTTCATTTAAATTTCGATTGATAATTTAATAATTATGTCTCACAATAATTTGGTGCTGAAATATTTTTACATCAATTTTTCATTTTCAGGGTAAAAATTGATACAACTGTGTAGAAATAAATGGGTGATCGATTTCGAAGTTTCAACCATCAACGTTTGTTATGGAATTATTCTGTTAGCAATCGAAATGTTTGCCTTTGTTTAAACTGTAATGTTACAATAATTCTATGTAAATTTTCAAAGTAAAAGTCTATGTAAAGTGTCGAATAAATGGAAATTTGAAATAATTTTATCGAATTTTCACGAGAACATAGCAAATTATGTAGAAAGACAAAACAGGAATTTTGTTTGAGACTTTGTAATAGTAGTTTCACGAAAATATCTCTTCACGAGAGGCTATATTCAAACACAAACACAGGAATATTTTTTACAAAAATATTTATACAAAAGAAGGTTTTAATATTTTATGAAATATCGTTACTAACGATGCTAGTAAATGAATAAAACGCCTAAATTTTTGTAATCAATTTTCCAAAAGAAAAAACTCAGTCCAAATATCATAAAATAAAAATAAAACTCGCTAGTAAAAGTCCTCGTGTGAACAACCGAGTAGCGGTACACATATTCATATTTTCATTTACACAATTTGCAACGTTCTCGTGAAAATTCGTCAAAACAGCTCCAGACCTTTATCTTATGAACACATTTTGAATGATTTATGCCAAACAAACAAATTTTTATGCAAAGATACTGTATTCTCAAAGTATAAATAACCATGTATTCTTTATGTAAATGTATTACATCCCTGAAGTTCGTACAACTGCAAATATTTATGTAAAAATATTACATTTCTGAAGTTTAAATAACCACAATTATTGATGCAAATATATTCCATTTCTAAAGGTCGAACAACGGCAAATATTTATGTAAAAATATCACACTTTCGAAGTTTAAACAAGCACAATTATTGTGATGCAAATATATTCCATTCCTGAAGGTCGAACAACGGCAAATATTTAAATAAAAATATTATAATTCTGAAGTTTAAACAACCGCAAAATTCACACAAGATTTAAAAAACACATTAAAAAGATTTCTTCAGTTTACATGTCACAAAACGAAAATTCGATCGCACAGTAGTTTTACCGGTTGCACTAAGCAAAACTTCGAATTACTATAGTTGACACGGTATGTTTCGATTTTACATGTCGTCTTACCATTACCAGGGGGTAAGTTTTGTTCACAGTGTCACCAGCGAATCCACGCGGCGGCCAACAGGGAAAGAAGAAAAAAGAATTATCAGGCAGTAACTTTCGCGTGTCACGACAGTTCGGAGACACTTTACTGACAGATTTGCCCGGGGTTACGATCGTGGCCGGCGTTAAACCAACCGACGACTCCAGACGGGCCGATTTAACTAATAGAAAGTGCGGTACAACCCCCGGGAAAATGAATTTTGCGAAGGCGGAGCGCAGGCCTCATGGGTGGAGCTCCTCTCTGGACCGTCCCATACTGTTCCACACGTATCCAGCATCCCTCTGCTCTCCGGAGACCCTTAGGCCGTTGTTAGACCCTTCGCCGGTGGATAAATACATCGATTGAACAAAAATATTTACTTATTGTAAAACAATTTATTGAACGACATAAGAAAATTCGGTTACACCCTTGCTTACAAAGTGAATTGAATTTTTCCATGTTATATTAGATCTACCGGAATGTTCTGCTTGTTTTTGAATGAAAAGACAATAATACGTTTTCCATATGTTTATTAATATTGACTGCACAACAGAATTTTAATCATTACTAATGTAGTATCACTCGTCTTTGGAAATTTGAAATAACATTCTTTTTATCACCATTGTTCTGTGACTTCTATCACAACTGTGACTAACACAATTACATAAGTATTTTATCGTTAATAATTTATTAGGAACATTGAGAATTTTATACTTATTCTGTGCCCACGTTTACCCCAAGGATTAACGATAGGGAAGTAATATATAATGTATATTCAAAGAAAATATATAGTATTTTTACATTTGTCAAATTTAGTTTGAAATTTTCATTAAGAATCTGATATGATATTGTAGGCCAAAAGGTTAATGCTAAGACGATTAGACCCATCAAAATCACGGATTTCAAATTTCTTGTTGCACAATTCAAATATCATTTCTATATATTTTCACTGTTTTTATAAGACGTTCCACAAAAATATATTTTCTAACAAAAATTGGTGTGTACTGGGTCTGTTAATAATTGGTAAATATATGTAGCTGGGTATTTCAGAGCATGTATCAAGAAATTAAAAGAACGCTGGGATGTGACAAAAAAATGTAGAATGTGTTTAAACTTCATTTTATGAATAATAAGTAGATTTAGAATGTTTAAACAAATTTAAATCTTTATGGACCATATTATAAAAGCGGAAATGAAATAGAAATGAATTTTTTATCAGGATACTTTTATTAATACATTATATTAGAAATAAAGTAGAATGCATCTAAAAAAGTGTTCACTTAATTTGTTACATTGAAAATATTTAAGTTCCACTTCTATTTATCACTCTAATGATGAAAGAAAATTCTTTCAAATTCACACCAAATTTGCACGGCTATACGTAATTATATTATTCCTTGTATCTCAATCCATGAACATTGACGTTTCGATTAACAGCCCCGCCATAAACACATTGCACCATTAATCTCAAAAAATTACATTTACTATTGACCGAGACGATATCTTCAACGAGCAATTAAGATATTTATTGTTTGTTGACACAAGTGCAACGTAATTCGAACATTAAGGAATCAAATACACACGCGGTATACAATATTTTTCAAATCCACTAATAAACTTTTTATTAAGAAAATATATACTTTATTGAAATAAGGACATATATTTTCGGTATCACAGGATTTCGTACACACATCGCGAATTGTTTATCGAAATAAAATATTTTTATTCACTCACAGAATTCCCAAACAATTAAATTCTCATTATCCATGCTCTAAAAAGTTATATACACATTGTACAATATTTTTCAAATGCACTGATGAACTTTTTACTATGAAGATATGTGTTTTATTGAAATAAGGAAATATACTTTCGATATCACAGGATTTCTTACATATTTCGTAAATTGTTTAACGAAACAAAATATTTTCTCTCACTCATAAAATTCCCAAACAATTAGATTCTTATTAGCCATGCCCCAAAAAGTCAACTGGCGATGGGGATGCAGCGAAAAAAGGGAGCCTTGTCTAATATACATTAGGGGTGACAGTTCAGTGAGCCCCACCCGTTGTCAAGTGGCCACCAGCCACGGGCTGTTTTATTGTGACACCTTCGTGGGGTGCTACAGATTTTCCAGCGGGATGAACCAGAGGGGAAGTGTCATCATACGATCCCGATTAAATGATTAAATCTGCGATCGTGTTCATTCGAGCGCTATTACCGGCCAATCTGCGTGGGAGCTAGTCTAATTTTGACTAAGCGTTGAAATTATACATTCCGTTTTATATATCCGTGTATTTTATAAATAGATACATGAACAGTCGTAGTACCTGCATACTTCATTAAAGATTGAAATGCATAAAATTACATTTGTTGGTACTTTATAATCTTCTGATATATTAAATTATGTTCACAATATTTTTTAAAATTTAGTATTGATCAATTAGTAGGTACTTTATAATTTTCTAGTTTATCCAGTTATACTTTCAATATTTTTGCAATTTCATATTAAAACATTATCACTCAATATATGATAGAAAATTATAAAGTTATATTTTTCAATATTTTTAGAGTTCAATATTGAGTCAAATTGATGGACACTTAATTATTTTCTGTTACAGTAAAACATACTTTCAATGTTTTTGGAATCTAATATTGAAGTATTAGTTATTACTTTATAATATCTGTTATATTAAATTATATTTTCAATACTTTTAGAATTTAACATTAACAATAGCTAATGTTCATGTTCATAATTACAATATCATACCAATTTCTATTCGTTTAATCACATTCATCTACCAAAATATGCTTTTCCAAAATGCATTTTCACAAAATACTTTCGCTGTGCGTCACATTATTTAAATAATTGGCCTCGTGCAATCGCGTTTCAACGAAATACAAAAAAAATTAGGCTTATTTTACATCGCGCGTACGATAACGGGCCCGATTAGATAAGGCGCTGAGTCGATGTTATTTGTTCTTTAATTGTGCAGGAAGCATCTTCGAGGCAGATGTTAATGGATGGAACAGGAAGGAGGTGGAGACTTTTAGTCACAAGCCTCCGCGCAGATAACGAAAGAATGACTTCGCCACGATCGTTTCCTTGTTTCTTCTAAACCAAGGAACGAAACAAACAATATCTTCCAAACAAATCATAACAGTTCCAAGAATAATTCTTCAAATACAAAAACAGTGTCACCCTTTGTAACTCCAACCCTATTTAAATAAAATAAAACAGTGTTTCCATACATTGATTTTTTCTGAGCTGAATAATCTTATTAGTAATAATTACATTATCTTTTTATTGTATCAATAATAAAAATATTATTACTTTTACAGATTGTTTACTCAATTTTCTAACATTAACGGCAATCATAGATGAAATTTCATCTGAAATAATTTTTGTTTCACTTATGTACTACAATATTCAGAAACGTAACAACTACATACTAACACTAACTTTTGCATATTTACTCAAACAATCACTGACAAGAATATTATTGTGAAACATATCAATTCTCTCATGCATATTTCGCTGTAGATACAATAATGATACAATCTT